CCACCTGTTGCAGCTGTTTGAAGATCTGGTCGCCGTCTTGGTGCGCGAGGCGTTGATGCAGAATAGTTTGCATCTTTCAGACGGCCAGGAAGGTAACTGCTGCAATAAGTTGCTGTAGGGTTCTGGGAGAGGCCGCCGCTGCTGTAATCAGCGAAATTGGGAGGCCCCATCGTGTGGCCATCTCCTGGAGCTGCACCTTGGTGTACTTGCCCTCCTCGAGCAGGGCGTGGACTTGCTGAATGTGCTGGTCCAACTCCTTGTGCTTGTCTGCTGGCAAGGTCTTCTTGAGGTTGGTGACCCAGGTTTTTATGGAGGTCATGCTTGTCGGGGGTTGCTGTCCACTTTGTTTGATGATGTTGTATGGTTCTTCGAGCAGCTTTTCGTACTGCTTCTTCTTGTTGTACGCTGGGTGCGCCGTCGCTTGGGGAGAGGATCTTCTGGAGCACTGTGGGGCGGAAGTCCTGGAGGTAACGCCTGATGCGGGGGCGACGGTGCCTGTTGAGAGTCACTCGGTGCCGAAGATGCCGAAGGTGGAGGCTGCAGTGGGAGAACCTTGGTAGGTGTCACTTCCACTCCTGCTGATTTGAGCCGCTGCTTGTATTTGGCGGCTTCCTCTTCGAGCTCCTGCATGCGCTGCACGACCTGGTTGTCTTGCTCGGAGTTCTTGCCGTAGTTCTTGACCTGAGTCCACGGCTTCATGGCCAAAAAGATTTCATCCACCAAGGGGGTGACGAAGTTGGTGGCTTCCTTCACTTTGTCTGGCGGCTTGAGGTTTTTGGACTTGTAGATTGCCTCGATGGTGGCGTCGACGTCGATGTTGTCCTCGCGGAGCCTCTTTTGTATTTGTGAGAGGAGGACGGTCTCGGCGACGTTGCGGGTGAGAATAATTCCCGTAAACCGCCCGTGAGAAAGAGGGCGTAATCCATATTCTTCCATGCCACGTCTGCTGACATGGGCAACTGTAACGTCGCGAATATCCATGCCAGCAAGTCTTTTGGCACGACTCCACGCCGATGGCTCCACGGTCTTCCGGAGGGTGGACTTGAAGACCAAGTTGGTGTCGTAGTGCTCTCCATCCTCCTTGAAGGTTGCGGGAACTGGCATGCGAGCTGGGCGAGGATCTGCTGGATGCTCTGGGGGATTGCTGCGCGTAGGTGGCGCTGGCGGCCAAGGAGCCGGCGGAAGGCTTGGTGCTGACTCTGGTGCTGTCGGCGGCGGTGGCGGCGTGGACCACGTCGGTGGATTCTGTGAGGTCTGCCACCACGAGTTTGTCGCCCAGGTACTTGGGGCCCACGTCTCACTCCAAGGCGAGGCCATGTTGCACGACAGGGCGGCTAATGCTACCAAAGTTACACCAAAAGCTATCGGAAAGAAAAAGTTATCAGAAAGAAAATTTACGACATGCTCAGGCTGGCGACACGGGTCTCAATATCTGCAAGCACAACCGCACACTTTGGCAGGTTTTTGTAGACTGCACGGGCATACGCTGCGAGTCTCGCTGGCTCGACTGTTGCAGAAAAAGATGCCACCGCAGAGGAAGAGGTCTTATATGTCAAAGCCTCTCATACAATATTGTACATCAGAACACATCTGGCGTCCTGAAGGTTTAATGTTTGCTGCTCGGAGGTACTGGTTGATGAGGCCTCTGGCTGTTGAGGGCGGCTGCGCAAGCTGCTCGAAGGCAATATAGTTGAAGCTGTAGCGGTTGCGACTCACGCAGAATGCTTTGGCGTTGCTGTCCTTGAGGACCTGATCTTCTTCCGTTGCCACGCGCGCAGTCTCAAACG